GAAGCTCCAGGTATGACCAAGGTGTGGGGGGCTGGGAACAACCCTTTTCCTGCATCCTGAGACTGGGACCGACCCCCTCCCTGCTCCCTGGGACTGGGGTGACCACAGGGTCAGTATTGACCCTTTCCTATACTCTGGGACAAGACTGACCCCTCTCAGCACCCCAGAACCGAGGTGGGTGTGGGACTGGGACTGACGCTGCTCCCTGGGATTGGGGTGACCATGGGACAGGAGCTGACTCTTCCCCTGATCCCTGGGATTAGGATGACTGTGGGATTGAAACCAACCCCTCCTTGCATGCTGGGACCAGGACTGACCAGGACTGATTGATCAGGACCAATCCCTGCCCACACCCTGACACAAGGGTGGCTACAGGGCTGGGTGTGACCCTTTCCCCACACCCCAGGACTGTGGTGACCATGGGGCTGGGACCAACCCCCTCTCCCCACCCTGATGCTGGGGCAGCTGTGGGGTCCTGTGGCAGCTCCCACCTGAGTCTGTGCCCACAGGCAACGGGTGAGAAGGAGGAGATGGAGGAGCTCCAGGCCTACAACCGGCGGCTGCTGCACAACATCCTGCCCAAGGACGTGGCCGCGCACTTTCTGGCACGGGAGCGGCGCAATGACGAGCTCTACTACCAGTCCTGCGAGTGTGTGGCTGTCATGTTCGCCTCCATCAGCAACTTCTCCGAGTTCTACGTGGAGCTGGAGGCCAACAACGAGGGCGTGGAGTGTCTGCGGCTGCTCAATGAGATCATTGCCGACTTCGATGAGGTGCTGGGGCGAAGAAGGGGAGAGGGGAGGGGGTGCATGGAGGTGCAGTGCACAGGGATGGAGTGCAGTGGGTGGGGTTATGGGGTGCTGGAAAGGCAGTGGAGCAGTGGGGATGAGGTACAGGATGCACTCCGTCCTTGGAGAAGCTATGGAGCAGCTGTCATGGAGCCACAGGAGTGGGTGCAGGACATGCTGGTGAGGCTGTGGATAGGGTACACAAGGATGAGGTGCAGGAAGATGGAGTGTTGGAGAGGCTGTGGAACACCAGGTTTGGGGACAGGGTGCAGGAGGTGGAATGCTGGAGAAGCTGTGGAGCACCATGGATGAGGATGGGGTGCAGGGGACACAGACACAGGTTGTGGGAGAGGCTGTGGAGGACCATGAGTGAGGTGGATGTACAAGGTATGGAGAGCCTGCAGAGCAGGCCTCTCCCTATCTGCAGGAGGGACAGGGTGCAGCAGATGGTGTGCAGGGGGTGTTGGAGAGGTTGTGGAACACCATGGGGGAGGTTGGGGTGCAGGGGATGTGGTCATGGGCTGCTGGAGAGGCTGTGGAGCAGCATTTGTGGAGCCACAGTGCAGGAGGTGCTGCAAAAGCCATGGAACAGCATCCGTGGAGCCACAGGATGGGGTGCAGGATTTGGGGTACCCATCGCCCTGTCGAGGTGCTGTGGGGGTGACTCCACCCCATCCCCCCAGATCATCAGTGAGCAGAAGTACCGGCAGCTGGAGAAGATCAAGACCATTGGCAGCACCTACATGGCGGCTTCGGGGCTGAACGCGGCCACCTACGACCGCGAGGGCCGGAGCCACATCTCAGCACTGGCCGACTACGCCATGCACCTCATGGAGCAGATGAAGTACATCAATGAGCACTCCTTCAACAACTTCCAGATGAAGATTGGTGAGCCCTTGCACACCCTTTGCACACCTTTTGCACACCCTTTGCACAGCAGCCATCCCATGCTGTTGTTGGTGGCTCTTGCACCCCATTTTCCTTTCTCACTTCCTCCTTTCCCAATCACCTCTTCTTTTTCCCTTTCATACCCCATTTTCCTCTCACAACTCTTTTTCCTCTCACACCCCCTTTTCTCCCCTCCTGCCCTTTTCCCCTCTTGTACCCCTTTTCTCCCCTCACCCCTTCCTTTTCCCCTCTCACCTCCCCTTTCCCCTCTCCCCACCTTTTTCCCCCTTCACACCCCTCTTTTTCCTGTCACTCCCTCCTTTTCCAATCTCACCCCCCATCCCTTCTTTCCCCCATCGCTCCTCTTTTCCCCTTTTCCCCTTCCCTCGCCCCATTTCCCTGAGTGTGGGGGTCATCCCTGACTCTCAGCCGTGTCCCCCCAGGCCTCAACATGGGCCCAGTGGTCGCAGGGGTCATTGGGGCTCGCAAACCCCAGTACGACATCTGGGGCAACACCGTCAATGTCTCGAGCCGCATGGATAGCACCGGGGTCCCCGACCGCATCCAGGTCAGTCAGGGGTGGGAGTGGCACAGGACGCTTGCCCAGAGACCCCCAAGGACCCCCCTCACCCCCGTGTCCTCCCTCCAGGTGACAACGGACCTGTACCAGGTGTTGGCAGCCAAGGGCTACGTGTTGGAGTGCCGGGGGCTGGTCAAGGTCAAGGGCAAGGGGGAGATGACCACCTACTTCCTCAATGCGGGCCCTGGGGGCAGTTAGGGGGGTCCCCATGGTGTCCCCCCACGCCGGGGACTCCCCCAGCCTGTGCCAAGCTCAGGCAACAAAAAAAAAAGGAAAAATCCCCAAATCCACATATTTTAAAGAAAAGGGAGAAATGGACACAAGGGAGGTGGTTGGGGGGTGTGGGGAGGTAACCCTGTGCCCTCCCTCCAGGGGTGTTTTAGGGGGTGTTTCCCAGCCCTGCACCGGGGTGTTTTTTTTTGGGGGGGGGTCATGGTAACCCCCATCCCTTTGCTGAAACCCCCCATGTGCCAAAGAAGGGAGATGGGGCCCCCCCAGGAAAGGGACTGCAGGGGGTTTTGGGGGCAGGGGGGTCCCCAGCCCCCTCCATGTGCCAAATTGAAGTGCCGCCTGCGGGGGGTGGGGAGCAGGCCCAGCATCTCCGCAGCCCCCTCACCCCCCGGGGGTCCCAGCTCCCTCCAGGGGGACTGTGGCGGGGAGGGGGGGCAGATCCTCCCCCTTTTAAATGCAAAAAAAAACCTAATGAAG